CGGTCGTCCAAGATTAAACACCACTAGTTGCCCAAAATCGATTAATATGGAACGATTTGGTGGTCGAAAAGCCGCCAAATCGTTCCATCGCCGAAGACGTCACGACACGAACCCGCGGTGACGGGGGGGGAGGGGCACGGAGGGAGGGGGGGGGGGAGGCGGATGTGAAGCAGGAGGTGAGCAAGGGCGCGGAGGAGGGAGAGGCGGGGGGAGGGGAGGAGGGGGGGAGGATGAACAGGGAGGGGGAGGAGGGTAGGAGGAGGGAGCAGGAGAAGGAGGAGAAGGAGGAGGAGGAGGAAGAACAGATAAGGAGCAAGAGGAACGAGGGACGAGGGACGAGGAGGAGGAGGAGGAAAAGGGAGGAGGGAGGCAAGGAGGGAAGGGGGAAGGATTGAAGGAGATTGGGGATGAGAAGGAGGAGGAGGAGGAGGAGGAGGAGGAGGAGGAGAAGGAGGAGGAGGAGGAGGAGGAGGAGGAGGAGGGGGGGGAGGAGGAGGAGGAGGGAGGACGAGGAGGAGGGGGAGGAGCGGGGCCCGTGGAGGCCCCACTCAACCAGCAGAAGATAGTGGCCCTGTACTTCGACCTGCGCGCTCGCTCCCTGGACGGCACTCGGGGCCCACGTGGGGAGGGGGGGCGAGGCGCGGCGTCCAGGGCGCGAGCGGCGCTCGACCGCCGCCGCGACGGTGGCGGCGCCGACAGCAGCGGCCACGGCGCCACTCGCTGCCGTCGGCCTCGGCACGCCCAGCCAGGCAGGGAGAGGGGGGGAGAGTAGGACTCCCCCCCTCCCTCCACCCCCCCTCTCCCCCCCTCCCCCCCCGGGCATGAGGAGGAGGAGGATGAGGAGGACCAGAATAACCCCAGATGCGTCAACGATGCTGCAAGCCACCATCCTTTCCCAAGTCTCCTCTTCAAAACCGCTGCAAACTTTTTTTTCACCGCAAAGAGCCTTGAAAGACCAGCATCATATGGGGCCTGCCGCTCTGGCGAGGGCCCCACAACATGACTGCCTTGCATCCTTCTGGATTGCAGCCAGGAGTGCGAGAATGTACGACCATGCAGTTCAACGAGGTGTCCAGCGAGATTCTTCTGTCATAAAAGAGACCAGTCCCCACCGACGCTGCACACAGCTGCATTTCTCGCCATGGGCTTACAGGGGGCCTATAGTCTCAATCAAGTCTCAAGCGAGAGCTCCTGTTTTGAACAGGAACCGCCCTCGGCCCGTACAGTGTTACATGTATTACAGCGTCTGGCCTTTAAGTCTCAGGAAGTCGCCATCGACAGCCTCATTCTAAAAGCTGGCCTTCCCCCAGACATGCATGTATAGCAACACCTTAAACGCATTTACGCGGCACTCAGGCGAGCGCCTCAGTCTGAAAGCGCCGCGTTCCATCTTAGCAGCTGTTGTAGACGGTTGAGAAAGAAATGTGCTCAGCGCTGTGGCGCAAGCCCCATTCCTGGGGGCGACACTCCGTTCAGTTCAATAAGTGTTACAAGCATGCCTGTTCCATACGCGCGGCGCTACGACGAGAGCCACATGTTGGAACGGTGGAAGGAGCCGCCTTCCATGAAGCTGCTGCGAACGGTAAAAGCAAATGTGCGCGGCGCTACGGCGAGAGCCACATTTTGACAACTCGCGGGCCTTGTCTGTAGATGCAGGACTGGCGCCTTCTAAGAAGCAGCCTCCTTCTAAGCAGCATCCCCCCCTCCCCCAGCCCCCCTTGAGCGCGCCGACAACCAAAGCGGGGCTGCCGGGGGTCGCGCCCGAGCGGCGGTCCACCAGCAAGGCGTTGGGGGGCACGCTGGGCGACCAAGAGCGGGGGGGGAGAAAGGCAGCCAACCGTGGAGCACGCGGCCCAGAGCGGGGCTGCTCGGGGTGAGCCCCCGCGCGGCACTCCAACAGCTCCGCGCTGAGCGCCGGAGGAACCTCTGCCCAGGGGGCGGGCGGTTGGCCTGGGGCCCCCCGCTGGGAGGCCCGCCCGCGGCGGCCTGGCCAGGCGGGCCGTCCGAGAGCGGACGCGTCTCAAGCAGCCGTTCGGAGAAGAAAGGTGGGGTGGGCGGGGGACGAAGAGGAGTGATCCGCCTGTCGTCGCGAAGGATGAGAAACTAAGACATGGGGCTGACTGGAGATCGGTCGGTCGGCGAGGGCGCTGCGGCAGTCCGCGCGCCACTCGCTGCCTCTGCGTCGCCCCGGGTGGGTCGTGGGGCGCTTCTAGCGAAGATCGGTCGACTACGCGTAAAAGTGACACTTCGCCGGAGTGACCCTCGGTGCAGGCCCATTGATGCTTTTAGATCCTTGAATGCGATGAGATAACGGTGGCTTGCGCGCTTGGGTTTGGACCCCCGCGCCCGTTTCAAAGCCGCACATAAGGGGAAGAATCGACGCAGGTTTTTGCCTGGAGTCGACACCCAGCCCTTCCGCATTTCTCACGCGGTCGGATTTCGACTACAAGACTTACTTGGAGTCGATTCCCGCCAGTAGGGGTACGCAGGGGCCTCTTGGGGGAATGCTTGACGGCGGTGTAGAGTTTTCAGTGCCCTCCCTGGGGGGAGGCCCGAAGGGAGGGTTCAAAGGAGGTTCAAGGAAGGTCCAAGGAAGGTTTAACGGAGGTTTCAGGGAGGTTGTTGTTTCAGTTTTGAGGAGGCTAGATGCGTGTGGTATCAATACGTTCCAAGGGAGGCTTAAGCGTGGGCCTTCCCAAGAGCTTCAAATGCCCTCCCTGGGGGAGCCGGGAAAATATGTCTACACGGCTTGCGGAGGACCCACCCGTTCGCGCCGCCGCTTGCATTAGTCGTCTCGGCCACCACCAGCGCGGCAACGCCTTCTCGCCGGAGTCTGGAATTGGCAGCAGCAAGCGCGCCGCTTCTCATCATGCAGAGGCCGAGAACTAACGATGATAGTTGATTGATGCAGTTATCGGGATGGCGTGCATGGCATCAGTGGCTTAATCGCTATTTGTGTTCGACGTTCGGTCTTGTCATTATATCGTCGAAGGTTCGCTGGGGTGCGAGGTAGGTGCACGCATTATGCGGTCGGCCCAGACTTGGACAAACCATGATCGTTTGAATGTTGTGTTCGCGCTCATGAATCGCATGTTGCGCAACCTCACTGTCCGAAACTTTGACCAGGAGACCGCTCCACTTGATGATGACAGCAGCTCAGGATTGGCCGTCTTTGAGTTCCCTAACGACCCGGCGACCAAGAGGAATTCGCATGTCAAGGTGGTTGGGGGGGGCATACAGTGGTTCTTCACAGTGACGCATGATATGTCGTTCGTTGTCTCTAATGCGAAGGCCTTACGGCCGGTGCTGCCGACCCTGAAGACGGCGACGACGAGGACGACGAGAATGTTGAGGAGCAGGTGGCGGAGGACGCTAGGGAGCAGGAGGGGCGAGGAGGAGGAGGAGGAGGAGGTGCGAGGGGGGAGGAAGAGGACGAAGAGGGGGGGGAGAGGGACGAGGAAGGGAAGACGAGGAGGGGGGGAGAGCAGGGGGAGAGCGAGGCGAGCAGGGACGCAGTTGCAGGAGAAGGACGGCTGACACTGACAAGGAGGAGGGGCAGCGGTGGGTAGAGCGTGGCGAGCCGTTATCCTTCGGAGGAAGAAAGGGATTGATAAGGAAACGGAAGATGAGATGGGAGGAGGAGGAGGAGGAGGAGGAGGAGGAGGAGGAGGAGAGCGAGCAGAAGGAAAAGGAATTCTTGACGCTTCGCATATCCCCACCAGACCGTAGCCTCTGGTTCAAGCCGTTTTTGCCCGAGCTGCATGCCGTCAGGAGGCCTCCGCCCGTTTCCTCCCGTCTCTTGTCTCGCTTCTCCCCTTCCACATGTTCGTGATGAGCGCGTGGTTTTCTGGCGGGGCCTGGTCTGAGTGGCAGGACTCACGTGGTTGGCACAGTCAAGGTGGGCACAGTCAGCATGGTCCCCCTCATGAAACTCAGTGTAGTTGGCACAGCCAGGATTGGCATAGTCAGCATGGCCGCGAATTCGACTACGCCATCACAGTCTGGGCAGCCCGCCGCGCGAGACAGCGCGCGGCTCGTCAGCGAGCAGAACAAGATACTTTTCCGTCTGGACCAAGATGTGACGCTTGAAATCGGCCCCGCCCGCAAACGACCCTACCACAGATTGCGAGCCCGAGTTCGTCGCTTTTCTGTGTCAGCATGGTCTTGGGATGTATGCGTCGAGCTTCGCTGAGCATAGCTTTGAGCGTTTGGTTGAGGCACGGCTTATGAGTGGTCGACACATGCGCGACATTGGCTTACGACCTGGTCATTGCATACGTCTTGCTACAGCACTGGGCCAGCAGGCTGCCACTGAACAGGGAACCTGTGTCGACACTCTTCTGGAAGCGCCTGCCCTGCGCGGCTGTCCAACAAAGCTGCCCGGCGGCATGACCACGACGCAGACCCAACGCACCGACCCTTTGGCTGGCGCCCCGCCTATGCAGGGCGTTTCCCCTGGGACTGACTTGTCTCTTCCCCCTCATGCCCATGATTCCTCGAGATGCGTCAGTTAGTCGCCTACACCGGGAAGATTGCGAAACGGGTCGCCTCCACCGGGAAGAGCGCGCAGATAGTCGCGAATCGCAGGAGGAAGAGCAGGAAGAAGTCAGGGAGGACCTTGCCGACCGCCCAACACGACCCATTGGCAGCGCGACCTCCTGGCACGCCCAGCTGCTTCGGATTTCAACGGATTCTACGACGGTCAGTCGCCGCCACCGGGAAGAATGCGATGATAGTCGCGAGTCGCAGGGTGAGGGGCAGGGAAACGACAGAGAGGACTTTGCCGACCGCCCGACGCAACCCGCCGGCAACACGACCCTTGGGAACACCCAGCCAATTAGGATTCCAACTGACTCTGCGACGGTCGTTCACCTGCACCGGGAAGATCGCGAAAGGGGTCGCGAGCCACAATAAGAGGGGCAGGGAGAAGACAGAGAGGACCTTGCCGACCGTCCAACACAACCCGCTGGCAACACTGCAACACTACCTCTGGAAACACCCAGCCGCTGCGGATTCCACTAGCCTCTGCGACGGTCAGTCGATTCCACCGGGGAGAGTGCGAAGATCGTCGCGGGTCGCAGGGTGAGGGGCAGGGACAAGACAGAGAGAATCTTGTTGACCGTCCAACACAACCCAGCGGCAACACGACCCCTGGGAACACACAGCCGCCTCGGATTCCAAGGGATTCTGCGACGGTTAGTCACCCACACCGGGAAGAGCGCGAAAGGGGTCGCGAGCCGCAGGAGAAGGGGCAGGGAGAAGACAGAGAGGAACTTGCCGACCGTCCAACACAACCCACTGGCGACGCCCCCATGGGAACACCCAGCCGCCTCGGATTCCAACAGACCCTGCGACGGCCAGTCGCCTCCATTGGGAAGAGCGCGAAGATAGTTGCGAGTCGCAGGAGGAAGGGGGGCACACCAGTGAGGGGGGGACCATCGAGGAGACCATCGAGGGAGCGGCGAAGGAGCCCCTGGAGGAGAAGTGCGAGGACGCGGAGAGCGAGAGCACCCCGGAGGACGACCTGGGCATTACGGTGGAAAGAGACAGCGGGACCTGGGATGATGAGGCCGCAGTCCGGCGAATGATGGACAGAGGGCGATTCGCTGCTCTCCGCCCCTCCCCCCCGCGTCCACCAGGGGCCCCCGCGCCCGAGCGCGCGACCAGCCCGCTGCAGGCCCCGCCCGCTGCAAACGCGGACACGCCGCCTCGGCGGGCGGGCTTTGCCCGCGAGATCACCCCTGCACCGGCGTCGCCTTCGACGGACCGTGCGGAGCCACAGGGCGACGGGGGCCCCTAGCCGTCACCCGCCGCTGACTCCTCCAGCCGATGGCGACCCAGTGTCCGAACTGCGCTGGCCCAGCCGAAGACCACGTCGACCCCGACGACCACCGCTGCCACCGCTACGATCGTCAGCGCTGGCTCGCCCCCGCACGCGCCGCTTGCCCGCGGAGACAGGGCGGGCCTGGACGCATCACTCACTACGCCCCCCAATACGAACGGGTCTCGTACGAGCGCAGAGCTGGGCGCGGGGCGGGCCAAGCAGCGGAGCAGTCGCCTGACGAGTCTGCCTCGGGGGCCGGGGCGCCCACGGACGACCCGCCGGCCTTCGCGGAGCGGGTCAAGGCGCGGCAAAGGACGGGGGGGCACACCAGCGGCATGACTTCTGTCGCGCCAACAATGCGACGGGGGGCCCGGCACTTACGATCCCGCGCGCCACGAGCCCGACGTCCTCCGCCGGTTCCTAGCGCCCACGGGGGAACACCCAGATTGCGACTATTATTTCGACTTGGCCCTCACCACGATGAGCCGCCGCTCTCTAATGGAGCGCGCCCGGGGCGCCATTCGCTCGTCCCCGGATAGCCTCGCACAGCGGGAGCGGCACGCCATCGACTACAGGAAGCCCGGCAAAGGCAGAGCCCAGCCCTACAGCGCACCCATGCACGTCATCGTCGCTTTAATGCGCGCTCGCGCCGGGCACGAAGGAGGACGTCGGTCTACGTTCCCGCGGGCGCGGCAGCGCCCCGGGGCCCCCACCTACGCTGACCCGCCCCACTGTAGGCCTGGAGTGCCTACCACGGCCCTGGGAGCCAGCTTGGCGCGCTGCCCTCCCCACAGCGGGAAGACCTTCGCCGCCTCGTGGCTGCGCCTTCTTGCACCAGGCTTTCGAGCGCGGGTGGCACGTACACTTGGGCATGGGCGAAGTGTGTCTCGAGTTCCTCAAGGGCCCAGTGATCACTTGCCATCTCCTCCTCCCCCCGGCGCCTGGCGCGCGACCGCCTCCTCGCTGTCCCCCGGGAAAGGTGGCTATATTATCTCCACTCTAGGCCCGGCGCGCCTACCGCAGCCCCGGGAGCCAGCCCGGCGCGCTGCCCCCCCCGCACCGGGAAGTCCTCGCCGCCTTGCGGCTGCGCCCTCTTTCGCCGGGCTTCGTTAGTATCTATGGTACGTACACCTTGTTTGGGGGCCCACCGTGGTAAACTGCCCACCGGACCATGGGCACGCACCATGGCACGTACCATGGAGTCAACGGCCCACCGTGGTAAACTGCCCCCACCTCCTCTTCTCGCTGTTCTTCCAAGGCCGCGACGGTTGGTCGCTCGTCTCCTCCTGCGGCCCCGGCGCCCGCTTACCAGCGCCGCGGGGGCAAGCAGCTACAAGTGGGACGAGCAGCGCTACGCTGACGAGCACAATGAGGCCCTACACCACTGGCCCAGGCACAACGGGGCTGAGCAGCACGTCGCCGACCAGCGCCGCCAAAACAAACTGCGCGGCAGCGAACAACAATGAGATTAGTAGCACGTCGTTGATGCGCACCACGGGATCCAGCGCAACGGAGCCCCCGGGCGCGTCGCCGACCAGCGCCACCGCGAGAGGCAGCACGGCAACGATCACCAGAGAGTCGCGCAGCACGACGTTGCCGAGCACACCAGGGCCCAGTCGAGCAGCACGTCGCCAACCAGTATTACTGGGACAAGCAGCACGGCAACGTGGCCTGGCACTCCCACCCCAGCTACCTGAGGCGCTCCGGCGCACAGGGTACATAGTCGATAAGAGCGCGTCGATTTCCACAGGAGCTTAGTTGGCACAGTCAGGTTTGGCATAGCCAGGGTTGGCACAGCCATGGTTGGCAAAGTCAGCGCGGTCGGAAATGGCACAGCCACGATTGGCATAGTCAGCGACAACTGCTCGAGTAAAAGTTATATTTTCTCTTCCTCTCCTCTCACACCGTGTGTCTGGCGCGCAGTTCATTCCCGCCCCTCCTGCATCCTAGCGCTTCAGCGGTTAGCTGCCACGCCGGGGTGCCTACCGTTCCTGGCGCGCACTTCCCCTCCTCTCCTTCGTTTCACCCGGCTTATCCCACGCGGCTGGGGCTGCCGCCCATACCGCTGTCTGATGGTGCTCTGGCATGGGCGGTCAGGTGCCCCCTGGCCTGCTCCTGGCCAGCGTCAGCCCCCACTGATGGCCGAAAGGGTTCAGTGGGATCTCGCCACGCTCCGACCTCTTCGGTGCGACACGACCCCTGGGAACACCCAGCCGCCTCGGATTCCAACAGACTCTGCGACGGTCAGTCGCCTGCACTGGGTAGAGTGTGAAGATAGTCGCGCGTCGCAGGGGGGCCAGGCGCCCCCCGCTGGGGAGGCGCTTAGTTGGCCGCCAGGGTTGGCTGAGCCAGGGGTGGCACAGTCATGGTTGGCATAGTCAGCGCGGTCGGAAAT